AGTTGGCCGTGAGTTGTAGTGAGCTATACTTTGCTCGCTGCTGTGCCCTGAAACGGACTGGAACATTCGCATCGGAAAGCAAGGCTATGTGTTAATTTTAATTGATTTTAAGAAGTGATGTTTCGATTTGTCATTCTTGGCAGCAATCACTGTCTTAACAATTATTTTGAGACTGAGAAAAGTCGAATTTTTTAAATAAATTAATCTCATAAACATTTTGTTTATTGAGTTTGTTAAATTCGAGATAAAGCAATGGTTCTCGGCTTACCAAGATCAATTTTGCGCTTGGTTTGGTCTCACTAGACTGCCGACTGAAACTGCTCGAGTATTTTTTTCTGAGTCATTTTCTAAAAAAGAAACGGCTTTATCTTTCTTCTTCCTGCTTCTCTTACCCGTTCAATGCCTCGACAAGACTTCTTTGTACCTTATCTTTTGCCCGGTCACGTAAAATATTATCTTAAGTCTCAAACCTTTCTGCCATTTGTAATCACAGAGGAAAAAACTTTGAAACGATGACGTCAATCGTGCGTCTGTTCTCTAATAGATCACAGGCGAGAACCAATCAAAATGCGAGAATAACTTGTGTTATTATAGAAACAGTTCTAAAATTATAACTGAGGACATTGAGTGAATCGTTGAAAGGAAAGCAAAATATAAACAGTTTCAGCGAATTTTTCCAAAAGACGACGACAGAACTGATTTCGTAAGTCTCCCGACGTTTTCAGTTTGACATCACAAAGATGATGAATTGGAGAAATGTAGAAATAGTACATGATGTTATTTTTAGACGGAGCTCTTCGCCGCTTGCGTGCGCGACTCGAAGGTGAGCCTGCTCGCAGGCTACTGTGTTAAAACAAAACCTGTCAAGTAACAGGGACGTACCATAAGAAACTGATTCAAATTAACATCATTTTCAACAGGAGCGTATTAAAAGGAAGCACTGAGATTTTTTCAGCGGCGGTGACGTATCAGTGCGTCTTAACAGTTTACAGTATCTGACTAGCTTTCCCGCTGACCACTGACAACACGGTATAGACATGAAGAGCCGACCCATGTGGCAGCAACATAGATTTATACCAGGCGCCATAATCGGGGACGGAGACCGTAAGTCTTGGGATCCGCGCGCACCTATGATATGGGACAATTTTTCTA